GGCATACGCGTCATAGACCTAGAGGAGATTCCTTCTAATGAATTATAGACTGCTGAGTATCGCCATTGATGGTACAATTGACGGCGCGTATGCCCAAATTTGTGGGAAACGCCCCTTTTTTGGCCGATTTTGACGTCTGAGGCAACCTTTGGAGAGCGATAACTAAATAAATTCTTGGCCGCTTCAAAAGCACTCGGGCATACGCGTCATAGACCTAGAGGAGATTCCTTATAATGAATTACAGACTGCTGAGTGTCGCCATTGATGGTACAATTGCCGGCGCGTATGCCCGAATTTGTGGGAAACGCCCTCTTTTTGGCCGATTTTGGCGTCTGAGGCAACCTTTGGAGAGCGATAACTAAATAAATTCTTGCCCGCTTCAAAAGCACTCGGGCATACGCGTCATAGACCTAGAGGAGATTCCTTATAATGAATTACAGACTGCTGAGTGTCGCCATTGATGGTACAATTGACGGCGCGTATGCCCAAATTTGTGGGAAACGCCCCCGTTTTGGCCGATTTTGGCGTCTGAGGCAACATTTGGAGAGCGATAACTAAATAAATTCTTGGCCGCTTCAAAAGCACTCGGGCATACGCGTCATAGACCTAGAGGACATTCCTTATAATGAATTACAGACTGCTGAGTGTCGCCATTGATGGTACATTGGACGGCGCGTATGCCCAAATGTGTGGGAAACGCCCCTTTTTTGGCCGATTTTGACGGTTGAGGCAAGCTTTGGAGAGTGATAACTAAATAAATTCTGGGCCGCTTCAAAAGCTCGCGGGCATATGTGTCGCAGAACTGGAGGAGATGCATTATTATGGCTTATAGAGTACTGAGTGTCGCCATTGATGGTACAGTTGGCGGCGCGTATGCCCAAATTTCTGGGACACACCCCTTTTTTGCCTGATTTTGACGTCTGAGGTTGTGATGACCTAAGAGATACTGGGCCGTTTCAAAAGCTCTTCGGCGCACGCGAAGGAAACCTACATAAGATTGATTAATTAGCAGTAACAGCGTGCTAAATATCGCCATAAACGGTACTCTTCATGTCCCGTTTGCCAAAGTGTCTGGACCACGCCCAGTCATTTTGGCATTTTTATTTTTAATACCATTCTTGGAAGTGGAATAGCTGGTGAAATGAAATTTGGACACTTCGTAAAAGATAGTTCGGATCAAAAAACGCTTTGACTCCTTAATTATTCAGCGCTTTAAGTATAATGTATTTGAGCTAATTACGCGATAAGAACAAAAACAAAAAAAAAACACGAAAAAACAACCTGCATTTAGGTTTTGTGTTTATCAATTAAGAAAATATTCAGTGTAGTTGCCGTTTTGTGATACATTACATATGTTGCTAAATAATGTATTTAGGAACGCAACAACGTCACTGATTCCTCGAGTCTCCTTACCAACTGCGGATTCTTTTTGGTATTTAAAGCCCTGGGGAACCACTTTAAGTTTAATTAATTGGAAAATAAAAACTGTTTCCATGGAGCTAGAGACATTGGCTATATATATAGCAAAATGCAACTAAATTGATCTTGTGGTTTTTTTAGGGTTTGCATCGAATGTTGAAAAGACGTATGATTTTTCTGCGGTTCGCCATAGGAACCAATGAGTAAAAGTTTGGTTGCATTTTGGCCAGACTTAATATAAACGCAGGACCACGAAAATTCTCGTGAAGGTTAAGGGAAACGTATTAAAACGTGACACAAAAGTGCAAAGGGATTGAGTGATTAGTTTTCTTTGTATAAAAAAAGATCGCTTTGGTCCATTGAGTTACGGGCGCCGGCGCAGCGGCGGCCGATAGATGGCGTAAGTGGTAACGGCGCTCGCCTGTCCGAGAATCTTGGGGTTGGTTCCCGAGAATCGAGGAACGCCTTTCAATCCTTGCCCGGTAATTGCGGACCGCCAAATGTTGAAATTTTTCCAGCTCTGATTACGGCCTGCGGAACAGAGAATACGTCACGAATGACGCGACACCACTCGAAAAACAAAAATAAAGTGTCCGGGCGGCCGCATTCCTGTTTGGTTTGGACTGCCTTTTAGTGGCTAAATTCTCATGCGTTATTAGAAAAGGCGCACGAAGGGCAGAAATTGGACACGACTGCTGTGCCGGCGTTTGGCTGGAACCAGACATGTGCAAGTTACTAAAAAGAGTAAGTTACTGAGTATCTGCCTCAAAAGTAATTTGAGTAGAGTAGAACTTCCTGAGTTAGAAAGTAATTGAGTAAAGAACTAGCTATAGTAAAAAGTAGCGAATTACTCTTGACGATGATTTTTATATTTTTTTTTTATCGTAGCAAGAAAGTACAAAGGTTTTGATAGACGGTCATTTTAGAAAAACGGCCATTCTCTCGCTCGCGTTTTAATGAAAACCTTTTATTGGCTCGAATAATCAATATGCTGTCAAAGTTCTTGTCTGGAGGTTCTGCGCCTGCTCGCCTTAAATTTTGTTCTTTTGTTTTTAACCTTATTGTTAGGTGACGTACAGTCATGCATAAATAACTTCTCGCGAGCAGACGTTTTATTCCGAGGAGCGCTTGGGCTGATGGCTTACATTCGAGCTATACTTCGTTTCAGCTTCGGTCCGAGCGCGGCCGATGTTATGAGCTGAAGGGCCAATCAAACAGCGAAAGAGGCACAACGTCATGGCGTGCTCTCTGCCGTTGATAGGGCCAGCTGGTATTCGCCGTCTCTCTGTGCGTGCTCCTCCGCCGGCTAGTCCTATCAAGCGCAAAAAACACGCCATGACGTTGCGCTTTTTGCGCTCTTTGATTGGCCCTTCAGCTCATAACATCGGCCGCGCTCGGACCGAAGGTGAAACGAAGTATAGCGGTGACGTCAGGTCCCGTCCATGAGAAGCGGGTAGGGGGGAGCCCACGGATTAATGCGAACTGCCATTATCATCTGCGCCTGTGTCACCGCGGTCTGATCGAAACGGCAAGCTCGGTGACTGGCGTCTACGTGTTTGAGGACGACGAGATAAAAAATATGAATCAAAACAAAGCAAAAACTGCGTTTGCCGCAGTTTTTGCGCGACAACGTGAGAATCCAGCGACGATATCGCCAACGAAAATTTCGAAGCGGGCGCGAGGCTTAGCACTGCTGAGAGGTGAGAAGCTACGCTGGAAGACGGTATGTTAGACAGTATCTTGGACAGAAACTGAATTGGGAAGACGGTACATTGAACATGACTTTCTTTCTTTACCAAACAGCTATTTCGTTGACGAAAACGTATTCTAACTTATTTAAATGTCCTGAATGAATTAAATAAATATTGTAGTAGTTTAAGACACGTTTCCTGGAGGAAGAAAAAGCAACGTTGCTAGCGAACTACTTTCTCGACGGCGGAGGCACTTCAGATGGGCGCAATGCGCTTGTGGGTGGAGCTAAAAGATTGTTCTCAGGTTGCATCCGACTATAATGAACAACTTAAATGTAATCGAAATTTACTCAGATTAATCAGAATAGTAGTTAAACTGTGCAGTAACTTGAGTTGAAGTAGTTGAATTACGTACCTGGCTGGTCCGGTTGAACGCGGTCGTTGCAGTTGTGTCCGACCTGTGCCTTACGTGGCCTTCTTTAGTGACGCTGGAAAATTCCGCACTAAGGCTTTCTAATCTAAAAGGTGTTGATGAAATTCACGCGAGGGTGAAATCGGACAAATTTCCCAGCAGAACGCGCATCACGAGACGAAAACGTCACGCCTGCTGTGAGGCCCGGTTACGTCATCTCCGCAGCGGAAGGGCAGATGGGATATACGCTAGAGCGATACCAACATTCTCCCGTTTGGCAGTAAAGCAGGTTGGCTCCGAAATACGATTTGTTGTCAGAAGTGGTGGTGTCAAGATTAGAAACCACTATTTTGTTCGTTTTGCGCGGTGCCAAATAAAAAAAAAAAAAACAAAAAAACAAAAAAAGTATTTTGTTGCTAAACGCTGATTATCCATACCACCGGCACTTTGCCCGTGTGATCGACGGAACTCAAGGAGTTTTGGTGGCTGCTAACGCCACGCACATCCGACCGTGGATCTTATTTATTTATATTTTTGGACAGCATTATTTTTAATATTGGAGCACCTCCTGGACTACGTCGGATTCCGCGGTCGCGCTGGGTTGGGGCGAAAGCATACCATTTTCATCCTCCATTGACGTGCGAAAAAGAAAATGCTCCGATGAGATACAGTTTCACGACCACCATCCGGGTCTTTCTCCCGTTTGTCCCAACCCAGCAAGGAGCAAAGTGCGCGGCAGCCCTTTCCCACTTCTATCCCGCCCTCTTTCAGTAAAACGGTGTAAGACCGTGTTAATGTCTATACCATGTGACCCTGACTCACGGTGTAGGAAGCCCTGACTTTTGAAAAGGGTATATTGCTCACTAGCATCGTTACGTAGCATTATCAATTTACAGTCAAGTCCACGTTTGCCTTGTATGCTCCGCTTGCACAAAAATCATATTCGCGGTAAATATTTTGCGCTTGCGCCGGGCCGACATAAGCGCCACCTGTTGCAGGTTTAGAAAATTAGAACAAGTTGCTCCGCCGCTCTGTCCACTTCAGCAGAGTGAAGGCTCCAGAGGATTTAAAAGGTTAAAAAGCGCAACGAATCAAGGACAATAAAGACACAAACAGTGTTTGACAGTGTTTTTTCTAATAAAATCAGTTGTGAGTTAGCGCCCGTCCGGTCGTCTTTGTGTCTTTATTGTCCTTGTTTTGTTGCGCTTTTTAACCTTTTAAATCAGTATGAACCAACTCGCCCAAACAGAAGATTTAATACTCCAGAGGAAGCAAGAGGCGAGCAGGGTCTCGCCTCTTCTCCAGCGTCCGCTCTGCAAAAGAGGAAAGAGTGGAGGGGGGCTTGACCCGCCTTTCTTAAACTGCAACGGGTATGGCTATGCATATACTTCACAAAACACAACGTGTGCACTTATGCGTGCTGTTTTGTATTTTGTCGATGTTGTATTCTGACGTCCGCATTTTCTTTCTTTCTTCAGGACACTTCAGGGACGGATTGGGAAGTTATCGCGGATTGTTCTGGCTCCTAGGAACTTTGTCAGCCTGCAACGTCGTCTTATGGTGCGGGCTTTGCTTGAGAGAGAGGCGGAGATGCAACGAGAGAAATCTCGACAAGCGGCAACCGAAGGAACATCCCCAGGCATGACAATCTGCCGCTGGCTGTTGTCACGGTCTGCACCCGTCCAAAGCTCTGTTCTATTCCCTCTTTACGTACCAATAAACCAACAGGGTTCAAGAAGACAGTCACCAACGGGCATCTCCGTCGTGAAACCTGGACTAAGGGCAAAAACTCACCCCGACTACGGACGCGGTCAGAACTTACCATACTCGCCCTTTTCACAGTGATAGCCGTTGCTCGTCGCACCACCACTCGAACCTTTATGTCGCTGTGTCACGTGTCCTTGTGTCACAGTGTCATCAGGGTATCGCGTGACGTCACGGTGGCTTATAAGATCACGGTGTCACGTGATATTGTGACGTCTCGTGACACGGCGTCACGGCGACATGTGAAGCTGGGATGTCACGTTACGTCACGGTGTCGTGGGACGTACGGGCGTCACATGACCGCGAAGACGACATACAAGAGACAGTCTTCCTTGTATGGTGGTCACGTTAGTCATACAGCCTGCAGGCATGTTCATGAGCATTTACAAACACAACATGTGCTTCAAACATGCCTGGGACGTGCCGCAGTTGCCGCTGCCATCATGTCTGAAACGAACACCGCGTCTTCTGTATGGCGACTGACCGGTCAGGGTTAGTCAGGGTGACCGCGTGTTAGGAGTGCTTCGTGTGTGTGTGTGAAATAAACGAATGCGTCAATCTCCGAGCAGGCGTTGGCGATGGTTCCTCGACGGAAGGTGCAAGGTACATAAGGATATATACGGTGTCTGAATTTACTAGGCTCGATCTAAAATGGACCGTAAAAATCGACGCGTGCACGAAGCATTCTAAACTTTTCGTCAAAGGTCTATTGCACAGGTCCGTTTTTTTCTTGTAAAATTACAAGGCATAGCTCCCTTTCTGTAAAAAGATAGGGCCGAAAACTTGCCATGGTTAACGGCGGGTGCATGGCGACGCAGACGACTGTGCCGAGCGGCGGGGGCGCGTTTGGCGCACGTATTGCATGGCGTCGGGAGCAGCGTCCGAAGGTGTTGCCAACGTTACTACACTACCTCAACTGTGAAACTCCCGTGGAAGGGGGTCCTTCCTCCCCCTTACTCACTTCAGTCTGCCTCCCGTCGTTTGAAGCGCCATCTAGTTTTCGGTTTCAAAACTGTGTTTTCCATAGAGTACGATGGAACGCCATTTAGACGGACTGTGCTTCGAGAAGTATACGTACTGCATAGAAGACATTGTAATTATCAACCGTCCGGCGCTTTGAACAACGGGAGGCGAGTCGTGGTGATTGAGGGGAGTACTGCTCGTGCAAGCAGCGTCAATGAGCAGTTCCCTATAACTATGGTGCTTGGAACGCGTCTCCGACTGGTGTGTTTACTGTCCTATGCTGCCCATACATCAAAAGTGGTCCCCAAGTGGCAACAAATGACGTCACAGAAGCCGGAGTGTCATGCTGTTGACTGTCGCGATCCTGGCGGTTGGCCGAGAAATGCTGGCGAAAAGCGCGAGCGAACGCGAGTGTCGCTGTCGTCACGGCGTCCCAGGCGTCCCAACTTTCGGCTGCTGTAGCTTCCGTGGACTGTCACAGTAGATGCGACCTGCAGCAGAACAGGCGTCTGCCATATCCACCACAGCTGCTGAGACACCACCAGGGTCGCGACCGCCGACAGCATGACACTTCTATGACGTCATCAGGCGGAAATTGAGGGACCACTTTTTCGGACGCGGTAAACACACCAGTCGGAGACGCGTTCCAGGCACCATACTATAATCTAATAACGTTGAGTGTAGCCGACCAGCGAAAGAATGACACGCAGACGAAATCCGTCGCAGCAAAAACGCCGTTGTTTTGCCACCGTTTTTTTTTTCCTCTTCAAGTTTTGTTTTTATTGTCCGAATTTATTTGTAAACCAAAGGTACACTATAAAAATATTATCTTCATTTTAGTAAATCAAGGTCGTTGTGAACTGTCTCGATTAGAGTTCTTAGGCAGCGCCATCTATCAATACGTGCGCCAAACGCGCCCTGCGGCTCGGCTCAGTCCTCTGAGTCGCCGCCCGCCGTTGTCCTGACAAGATTTTCGCCCCGTTTTTTGTTTTTTTTGTTGTTTTTACAGAAAGGGAGCTACTCTCTGTAATTTTACAAGAAAAAACGAACCTGCGAAATACACGTATGACGAAAAGTTTAGATTGCTTCGTGTAGGCGTCGATCTTTATGCTCCATTTTAGATGGAGCCTGGTGACTTGAGACATCCTATATTAGGGTCCGATAAGGTGTCGCATGGTTTCGCTGCGACTGCGCACGGGACTGGTCCTTTTTTGTAAGTACACATGGTCAAAAAAATCCCTGAACGAAAAGATGTTTAGCTTTCATGGATTCGGAGATGAGCGCAGCGTTTGCTTCATTTTTTTTTTTGTTTTTTGTGGTTTCTTTCTCTGTGGTGGTTAGGGCAGTGAAAAAGGACAGAGTTGCAAGATATATTTTAACCGGACAACGCGGAAACGCCTCGACCTACGGTGGCGCCAGACGGTGTTGAAAGCGAGCGGCGAGTGACGTCACGCGCTCGATGCTGTCAAAATATATTGGAAAAAATATTAAAAACGTTTACAAATCTTTGTAACGCGAAATTGGAACGCAGCTCTTGAGGAGGAGGGGAGGGTATGGAGGCGAGGGTATGCCCCGCCTCCTCCTCCGTACCCTCCTCCTCTGCTCCTCGCCCTCCCCTCCTTTTCCCCTCCTCCTTTCCTGCTCCTCATCCTCTCCCCTGCCCTACTCCTCCTCCTCTCCCCTCCTCCTCCTTAGCACGTGACGCCAATTTTCCCGCTAAATCTATAGACCTTTGCAGAAATCGCCTCCTGCGCGCTGCCATCTTTGTCTGCTGGGCTGTGGAACGCCTTCCAAGCATGCGCTGTTGATCTGCTCTGGAGTATATCGGACGCTGCGCATGCGTCCACAGCTCAGTGACTCAGCATTTTTTGCCCGCTCGCTTCGTTCGAGACTGCCGCTGGAAAGGTCTATAGCGGAGAAACTAAATGTGTTCATAGGTGACGTGCACCTCGTCATGTGACGTTATTTTCCCCGCTAGATTTTGCGGGGAAACTAAACCGGTGTTGAGGTCCCGTGACGTTAATTTTCACGCTAAAATTAGCGGGAAATTGAATTGCTGCTGAGGTTACGTGACGTCAAATTTCCGGTACATCTCGCGGAGAAACTGAATTTGTTCAAAAGTGATGTGACACCAAGTCATGTGACGTCATTTTCCTTGCTAAATTTAGCGGGAAAACCGAATTGGTGTTCTGGTCACGTGAAGCCAATTTTGCCGCTAAATGTAGCGGGAAGTTAATTGCTGTTGAGATCGCGTGACGTCAATTTTCCCGCTAAATTTAGCGCGGTTACGTAGACGCCGCTCAACCCGGAAACGGGCACCTAAGAGCAGCGCCCTAAAACTTTTATGCGGCCAACCGTCCCAATCTTTAATTTTTTTTTTATTGAGTATCACGGTTAACTAAACGCATTCATATTTACGATTCTGGCTCTGTTAGGTGCAGTCATAGCCTCCTTTAAACTCACAAAGCCTGTCAGTTTGACGACGGAGCCGTAGAGTGCTCGGTCGCAGATTTAGAGCGAGAGGATCTGGTAGCACAGAGCATTTCTCGGGGAGCCTGTAGTCAGCGCACAGCTTTTGCAGCGGCGAGGACCCGGATAGTGGTTTTCAAACCCTGCGAGAAAAGAAGCGGTAGCCCGAGGAACGCGAGGAGCACGAGCAGACATTTCATCGCTCGATACTAGTATGTTTCGGCGTCTCGCCGCAGCGGGGCGCCCGTTACATACCTCTCCTCTCGTTCGTTGTTTCTGCCGCTCTATCTTTTCACTTTCAGGGGCCGCGTCTCGTGGCGATCTGCCAGGCTTCGTCAGTATAGAGGAGGCTATGGTACAGTTCACCCTGATCATACCCAGATAGCACAAGGGGGCCTCACGTGGGCTGGGTCAGCCCCTACATGGGCAACCCATGGCGTTTCGGGCTGCCCATGTAACACCACCGTGGGTCCCACCCTGGGTTATGTAAGGACAAATTTATCGTAGTTGTGGGCCAATCGAGGGCCCGCCCACCTGGGCTGCCGACGCAGTACCCTCGTGAAACCTACTTAGGCTACGCGCAGGCGTAGCCAAAGTGGGTTTGGGCTGCCCAGGCGATGCCCCTGTGGGTACCATTTGGGCTATACAGGGGCAGAGTCTTACACAAAGGTGGGCTCGCCTCGGGGGCACTGCGTGGGCACGCCCATCTTGGGCTGTCCGTGCAATGTCCCCGTGTGTCCCACCTCGGCTATATGGGTGAAAGTTGAGCATAGATGTGGGTTCCGAGGGGACAGAGTGTCGGCATGCCCAGCTTGGACTACCTGTGCAGCTTCCAAAATGGCACTTTCCGCTAAGAAAAACATTTAGTGCACGTCCTGAAGATTCAACGTAAAAGATCGACCTAATTCGACACGACATTACCGAGCATTGTAATTTTAGGCGTGAGAGAAGTTCTAAGTTTGCACACTTTATTACTAGCTATTACATGCTTATCAGAATGTCGTCATCTGCTCTAAACTTCGGTGTCTGTAGCCGGCTCAAGTTTGCGATAGTCCACCAGGATGTTATACGGAAACATGCACAGTTTTCTGCTTCAATTGGTACAATTGAAATGTACAGTTTTCGATGGTCTTGTTCAATATGTTTCATCGATCTATCAAAATGTATCAAGCTGGTAATCATATTTCCAGTATAGTCACACGGGGAAACTGAGGCATGCTCAATTTGGGATGCACTGCAATACCTCACATTGTTGGGGAATGACGAAATAACCACGAACGGGATTTCGTTCCCGGGGGACCTTATGTGAGCTGCCTTCCTAGGCCCCCTGAGGGCCCAACGAGGATTGTCATTGTGGGCTACCTAGGTAGACCCAGGTTCCTACGAGGGGACTGGGCTGTCCAATAGGCTCCCTGTGGGTCTCCCGATGCAGTCCACTTGGGCCGCTTAAGTGGGCCCCACTTGGGCCAGACTTGCAAAACCGACGTGGGACCCGCGTCGGCCCTCCTTCCACAACGCACTTTGTGCTACTTCGGTAACGTC